AGTCAGTGTAGCAGAGTAGATAGAGCAGTTTGTGGTAGCCGAAGTTTTCTTCGGGAGTCGCTGGTAGCGACTCAGCGATTGAGCTGAAAGTTAGTAGCCGGTGAGAGTCCAGTAACCCAGTTGAGGGCAGATTAGTTGGGACCAGGGTGGTCTCGATACATCCGGAAGGCGGATAAGAGACAACAGAGACTTCAGTCGGGGGTAAATAATGATAAGAGAAATTCAGAATGGAGCAGCTAGTTGATCGAGAAGAGTTTCACCTCTCACAGCAGGATTAAATAATCTCAGAGGGAAGGGTTTGACCCTGCTGCACAGCTCTTGTATGAGTCTAACCGTTGTAGGGATCAACCTTTTACTCGAAGGAGTATCTGATTCATTTTGCTGAAAAGGGTTTCAGCGTCAGAATGTCATAAGAGGAATCAGTCGGGGTATCAGGGAAGTAACCAGCACTGGGAGTGGCTGGGGGAGTAGATGCAACAAAGGGTATATCCCTGCAGTGTTAGAGAAGGTTGTTGTTATGGAAGTTGTCGTGGAAAGGCCAGGGATCACGCAGAAAAAGGGGTGAACCACTTGAATGTCCAGCATAATTACTCGGGGAGTACCGGAAGGGATTGTCAGTCAGGTAAGAGTCGTGTTCTCAGGAGTATTGGTAATTAGAGTGTTCTTGGGGGTCCTTATCTTCACAGATTATTTTCAGAGGGATCGGTCGGAAGGTCATTTGAAGCGGTCAACAGAAGTTAGATTCATCAGCAGGAAGGTTGAAAGCAGATTGCAGGACAGTTGGTCGTAGCGGACTTCGAGGATGAAGTCTAGTTTAAGTGGGGGAGAGTTGTAACACCCGAAATCTGAAAGACCAAGAAAGGAAAGGAAAACCCTAAGTCAAAGGGATCAACTCGTCGAGTCCATGGGTGAACTCGACGAGTCGGAGCGGGTTCCGCGTCAAGATTAAGTGACCGACTCGACGAGTCGGAGGGACTGACTCGGCGAGTCCGGTCTGGATTGGGGAACCCTAATTTTAGGTTCCAACACCCTATTTAAAGAACATTTCAAGCCTCCAACCCAACCTCCATCACCCTCCTTACCTACTCTCGAAACCCTAAGCCTCCATTGAAGTATCCTTGCCATATTTGAGTGATTTGAAGCTAGAAGGAAGAAAGGAACCTTTTATGATTCAAGAAAGGGAAGTAGATCCAGATTTAGTGTGCTATTTCAGATCATTGGAAGGTATGAAGCTCATACATTGGTTGTTTTACATCTAGATTCTCTCCTTAGTTTGTATTTTGTCACTTTTAGGCCATTTCCAAGGCCAATCCGAGTATTGTGCCTTTGAGGACGAAGAAGACTTTATATCTTAGTACCTTGGGATATAGAAGCTTAGAGTTGCTAGCTTTTTCCATCCATGACTCCATTCTATGTCATAGACCACCATTTTTGCTTGGATTTGGTGTTTTAGCTTCATAACCCTTTGCATGCATGTAAAGTTAGCAACTTTGCGTGTGAAGCTAGCCCTAGGAGCCCAGATCTATGGTTGGAAAGCAAGGGTTTGGACTGAAATCGACATAATGGAAATGTTGAGGATGAACTCGGCTAGTCCGTTCTTGGACTCGGCGAGTCGAGTCGAAACCTTAACCTCTTCTGGATGCAAGTCGAGTCAGTGAGTTAAGGCGGTGACTCGGTAAGTTGGTCAGGAGCAGGGCTAGGATTTGGATGTTGGAGACTCGACGAGTCGGTGGGTGACTCGGCGAGTCAAGTCGCGAATTATGGGATTTCTGAGTTATGAACTCGATGATTCAATAGGCTGACTCGGTGAGTAGGGTCAATCTGGAGGTTGACTTTGACTAGGACTTTGAATCTGACCAGAGTTGACTTAGTTTGACTTTTGAAGGATAGTTTGGGACTAAGTTTCATATTGATATTAGTAGCTCGGGGAGCTAGGGGAGCGGCGGTTCAGGGAGTTGTCATTCAAGCAGCCGGAAGTGTAGCAGCAAGAACTTTAGCAGTGCAAAGGTGAGTTTTCCCTTTGTATGGATGGGTCTACGACCACAATGTCGGCCCATGTGGTATGAGTAGGAAGACCTGGGGGTTAGCCCTAGGCACTGTATGCTAGTATGATATTCAAGACCAAGGTCTAATGTTAGCGGGCGGGTGCCCAAGGATCAGTATACATGATAGTTTATACTTGTTGTTTATATGATACATGTATGTGCCTGATACGGAGGTGAGTGTGGGCGAGGTCCCGTATCTCACCAATAACAGAGGGTGGATAGTGTTCCATACCTCATTAGTAGCAGAGCAGAGGCGAGGCCTGAGATAGGAGTGGAGTGAGTGTGGGAAGGGGCCCGTATCTCACTTACAGCAGGAGCATGGGCAGGGTTCCATGACTCACTAGTAGCAGGTCATGGGCGAGGCCCAAGACAGGCGAGGCCTTAGTACAGGAATGCAGTATGGTATGTTCAGTTTATGTGTTATATGTCATTATTATATGTAGTATGTGTTCAGCGGGCGGGGCCCAGAGACAGGCAGGGCCTAAGAGAAACATATTTGTAACCGAGCGGGGCTCGAAGACAGGCGTGACCTGGGGTCGGCGGGGCCGATGTAGCGGGCGAGGCCCGAAGTAGTTGGCGTGGCCCATTATATGCAGTATGTGATTATGCAGGGTATGTGGTAGGTTGGGGAACTCACTAAGCTTCGTGCTTACAGTTTTCAGTTTTAGTTTCAGGTACTTCCAGTAACGGAGGGAGGAGCTTGGGGTGATCGCGTGGCACACACCATTGTTTATTTAGCCTGTGATGTTTTACTCTGATAATAATGTTTTGTAACAATGAGATTTATGTGTTTAACAGAATGATTTGATGACTTATGGTTTTCTTACTTAAATTAAATGGAAATATTTAGACTGTATTTTTGGGATGTTTCACTTGCAAGTAGAAGAGTTTCTGCTTTTGATATTTTAAACTTCATAAGTAGTTTAAAGAGGGGGGGGGGGGGGGGACACATCATATGAATAATAGTATAATATTAATAGTAATGTTGTTTCACCCCCTTCGTTGTCATTGTTTAGAGCATCCATAATGGTGAGCTCAATGGAAGGGTTGACACATCATATGAATAATAGTATAATATTAATAGTAATGTTGTTTCACCTCCTTTCGTTGTCATTGTTTAGAGCATCCACAATTGTGAGTTTAATGGGAGGGTTAAATGAGGTGGCAAGTCTAGTTGTCATTCAATGGATTAAATTCTACCATAGTGAGATGTCATCTTCGCATTTAATGGATTTACAGTTCAATGGCCATTGAACTCTTTAGTGAAAAAAATGAAAGTTTTCTAATCTTAAATAGATACTATAAATTAGTTTTTGTAACTTTCTATTGAACTTTGTAGAGTTCAATGCATTGTAGACAAAATTTTATTGAGTTGTATGGAATGTAGAAAAATGATGTGACAATACATTGAACTCTATGAAGTTCAATGCATTGTGGATGCCTTTATGAATATCTAATACGTCATCAACGAAACAGTAAATAATATGTATTCTGGGTTTGTACTAAAATAAATGAGATGTCAAAAGACAAACGATAAGTTATAAGGCATGGATGGATATAGGATAATTACATACTACTATGTTTGTTATTGTATGACAAAAGTGTTCACTAAATTATCTAAAATTTTATACGAACCAACATGATACCCGATGGCTTAACTCGGTAGGTAAGTTTGGTAAGCAACTCCTCACTAGTGACGCAAAATTAATCAGGGGTGGCTAAGAGAAGGCCATGTGACGAGATTTTGAAAATGGTTGTTTAGTAACATTGGCATTTGGGAAACACTTTGCCCCTCTCCGCTATCATCACATAGTGGAGAGCCACATGGACAAACATGATAGGCGTCAATCTATTAACTTTATGCTTTTGTCGGGTACGTATGTTTTATGTAAAGGACAAATTTCTGTCCATTTTTTAATTTAGAAAATCTTGTACAAAGAAATAAAAATAGAGTGCTAGTAATAAAGGAATTAATGTAGTTGGTGTGAGAATAGGATTAAGTTAGCAGTCAACTGTTGTGTGTTTTTCGAGTCCAATTTGGGAGGGAGAGATGGATTACAAATACAATGAGACCATTTCTTTTATGACTTGTTCCTCCTCTATCTGGACTCTTGCTCTTGCTCAAAAGGAAAAGTCACCTCTCTCCTTTTATTATTTTTATTTTTATTATTATTACTCGTCAATCATTAATAACAATACTTTTTTATAACTTTATGTATCTAAATGTAATACATACATATGTACAAAAAAACCAATTCATTTCGACTTAATTAACTCTATTATCTATACCACAGCCTGAATAACCAAGCCGTTGAGAAAACAAAAGATAAACTTTTCATTTTCATACAAGAGATCCCAATCTTTACCAAAGGTTCTAATTCAGAAGTGACCATGTAGATACGTCTTCCCCAGATCCTTTAAAACCATGAATACTGTAGTGTAGTGGACTAGTTCAAGAACGTATTTTTAACTATCATCTAAATGGATTTAATACCACACTTTAATCATGTTCTTAATATATATTTTTTTTCTTTAAATCAACACCATTAATAAAAAACTATATTCCGTATCTAGCAAGCATGTATTTTCAACATCGAACATCATTTTCACGAAAACTAAGGATATCAAATACAAGACGTTTCTAATTAAATTTTTACACATATATACCTCCAAAAGAGATAACAACGTTGACCTCGAGGCAATAAATGAGTAACATACTTAGTTTTTTCGACACCCATCAATTCTCCGAAACACATGAGTAGAATTATTCCAACCTTCATCTTCTTCCCAGAAGCTTCACCAGATCACAACTTCAAACCCTAAACCCTTTCCTTACTTCTTCGTCATGCATTAGGTTTATTATTCGTCATATATTATATATACATATACATCGATCGTCCAGTCTATGCATCAACCTACGCTCTGAAATCTGAATCACTTTATTTGGTCTAGTCAATGAAGCCCAACAACAACAACACCAATAGTCGCCCTCGACGTCGTCTTGACTTAACTTTACCTTTACCTTTACCCCATCCCCAGATCGCTGTTCCTCTCCCTCTCCCACCCTCCTCCGCCCTCCAACACCAACACATCAACTTTTCCGACCTCCATCGGATCAACAGAATCGGAAGCGGCAGTGGCGGTACTGTTTACAAAGTCCTCCATCGCCCTACCGACACCCTCTTCGCTCTCAAAGTAATCTATGGAACCCACGATGACGATGCCCGCCATCAGATCCGTCGAGAAATCGAGATCCTGCGTGGGGTCGACAACCTTAACGTCGTCAAGTGTCACGACATGTTTGATCGTGCCGGTGAGATTCAGGTGCTTCTAGAGTACATGGACGGTGGTTGTCTTCAAGGCACGCACCTGTCCGATGAGTCCTTGTTGGCCGATCTCACCCGTCAGATTATCTCCGGCCTTTACTACCTCCACCGGCGAAAGATCGTCCACCGTGATATAAAACCTTCCAATCTGTTGATTAATTCCAAGAAACAAGTGAAGATTGCGGATTTTGGGGTTTCGAGAATCTTGGAACAAACGATGGATCCCTGTAATTCTGCGGTGGGTACGATTGCTTACATGAGCCCGGAAAGAATAAACACCGACCTGAACGAAGGAAAATACGACGGGTGTGCCGGAGATATATGGAGCGTGGGGGTGAGCATTTTGGAATTCTATCTGGGGCGTTTTCCGTTTACCGTCGGAAGACAGGGTGATTGGGCGAGCCTTATGTGTGCAATTTGCATGTCACAGCCACCAAAAGCGCCGGCGACTGCTTCTCGTGAGTTCAGAGATTTTGTTGCATGCTGTTTGCAGAAGGATCCGGCGAGGAGATGGACGGCGGCGCAGTTGTTGAGGCACCCGTTCGTTACAGGAGCAGCTCTAAACCATAAACATAGCAGTTACAGTCAGGTGCATCCAACATATGAGCTACTTCCTCCTCCATGTCCACAATTTTCTTCATCCTCTTGATGTACGTAAGTACAACTAGAAGCGCACGTAACAACAAAGAACAATCTTGTAAGATAATCATTTGGGCCCTAGATTGGGCTGGGTTAGGCTGCAACAAAATTCATGTTCTTTTTAGGGGGTATTGTTTGTGTAAGTGGAACGAACCAGGGAGATTAGGGAATGACGATTGTTTATTTGTTTTATTTATATATAATATTATATATATACATGATGCCATTTGTATCGCTCTTCATTTGTAATCTGTTAATAAAAAGGCAAAAGCAAACAAATAAGAAATGTAAGAGTTAAAAAGTCCATAAAAGTTGAGCATTCGTGGATGTACAGTTTCAACACAATATAAGATGGTATTAAAATGCATTTTATATTTTATTATATGTTTGGTGAATTTATTGAAGAGTAGTTATACCTCTCATGTAGTGAAAGACTGAAAGTTGTATCTTGCTCAATCATGGTTCCTTTCGTGTTCATCATTGTGTATGTGATATGACATGAAATTTTGATTACTACATTTTCCAAAATACAAGACAAGTGGAAGGAAAAGAATAGGAATATATATAATTGAGGGAAATAAATAACGAAAAAGGACGATAAGGGAATAGAACTGATCCATCATAATGTGGAATAACATGGGATAAGAGGAAATGAAAAGCATCTTTTGTTAGTTTTCTTCAATATAGTAAGTTGGCAAGCCATCAAACAGTACAAGTTCTAAACAAGATAATGCATTAGTACAGATGACTACATTTTGGTGTTCTGTATCAGAATCTATGGTCATTTAACAAGTTGGGAATAAAGTTGTAAATACCTTTCGATAAAAAGATGACCACTGAATGTGGGGTTATCATATATATATTCCCATGACAAGAGATGTAATGCATCTTTCGACTTATTTGGAATCATGGGCTTAACCCTATAAATAGGATCAAGCAAGAGTATAGAAAAACCATCATCAACATAGGTTCAAATTTGACACTACATTTTTTTTCAAAGAAAAAAAATGGTTCTCGAGGTTCAACGTTACCCTAGTGGCTACCAGCAGAACAACTATCCAACACACCAAGGACCTGATGGCTACTTCAACAACTTCCACGGAATAACTGCAGCCCAAACAACCCCATACCCGACTTATCCTCAAGTTTCAACTTACCCATCAAGCCATGTTTCACAATACCAATCTAGTTGGTCTGTTGGTGATGAATACCAGCATGGCAATAGACCCAACCATCCAGTCAAGCCCAATGCTGGTGGATATGGAGGAAATTCACATGGCTATGCAAAGTCACAAGGTTATGAAAACTCATTCAGCCATGGAAGCCAACAAGCTCATGGAAGCCCACACGGTCATGGCCAAGGGAGTCCAAATGGTTTTGGTAAATCACATGGATATGAAAACTCATTCAGCCATGGAAGCCAACAAGGCCACGGAAGCCCAAACGGTCATGGCCTAGGGAGTCCACATGGTCTTGGTAAATCACATGGATATGAAAACTCATTCAGCCATATAAGCCAACAAGGTCATGGAAGCCCAAACGGTCATGGCGTAGGGACTCCACATGATCTTGGTAAACCACATAGCTATGGAGATTCACACAACCATGGAAATTCACATGGTTTTGGAAATACGCAAGGACATGGAGGTGGTGTTATGAACCAATTTGAAAAGCTGACACATGGGCACGGCTATGGAGCTCCAGGCCCAAACTACGGCCACGCTCCTCCGAGTGGCATGAATCCTGGTTGCCACAAGTCATCTTGGACTCTGAAGGGACTTGAAGATGATGAATGAAGATCTAAGAACCTACCGTATTACAAAGAAGTGTGTGCTTGATATATAATCCTCTAAATAATGTGTGTGCTTTAATTTCTATTTACTACGTATGTGACAAATGCATAAGCAGTGAATAATGAATGGTGGTTACTGCTTTATCTGATTTCATGATAATCAATGGTAATCTTATTTTGATCTGAAGAGCTAAATATCCACACAATGAAATGATTTAATGAATGATGTCAAACTTCAAATGATTCAAGAGATAATCAAAATTTTGTCAAAAAAACCATATGCATGATAATAGTATTATATTATTATTTGATTCGATATTAGCCAAGTTTACCCAAGTTTCCGTATTTATTTATGTTTGATATAGTTTTCATACGAGTTTTCATTGTAATTTAGATAACACAAAATTATTCCAAATATTATACACTATTATATGGTTTCGGACTTTTATAGATAAACCCTTATACCATGACCACCACCTCTAGCGACCTTCTATAGCTATCGTCGAAGGGGCCTCTGGTATATATGTTGGTGCCACGCACTATGTGTAGTCTAACTAATATATTCATTTTATTCTGTTGGCAGTAAAATTCGAATAAATAAAAGATTACATTTGATAATGACCAATAACTAAGTAACTAGCGGTGTACCCGCGCACAACGACGGCGATGAATAGTTTCCGGGCAGTAATTGTAACGCCCGTGTTTCTAGGCTAGGCATTTTCGTTGATGTATGTGACATCCCCTAAAATCTCGGCCAGAAAAGACCGATTTTCATTTATGCTTTTAAAATAATTTCAGAGTAAATCCTTTTGATTTGAAAGAGTTGCGGAATTTGTTCCCAAAAACAAAACATGATAAAACAATGTTTACCAAAACATTTCATAAAAGAAATGTATTTTCATTATATAATCAAAACTTGAGGTGTCATGTTCCGATACAGACCAATAAGCATAAACGATAACATTACAAGTCATTCAACAAATATATACATATACAGACTTGTAAACAAAACAACTTGATGGTTCATCCATCTTACGCCCTTGCGCCACTTCCTGTAATACAAATAAAACTGAGTGGGTCGGGCTTGGGAGTCTGGTGAGCATATACGGTTTTCAACCCACAATAAATAATTAAATTAATTATTATCAACCAACAATAACTCAATTAGCCATTCCCGTTATTCTCACTTTATGTCCCTAAAATAACTAACACAAGAGACCTAGTCTAAGAATATTTCATCGGGTGACAACACATGCTTCGGGGGTTCCTCAGTAATATAAGTCAAATAAGGCAACCATGAGGGGGATGGAATACAGCGAATGAACACCCAAGTTCATTCACACCTACATGTTATGAGCCTGCTAGCGTTCCACTGGACTGTCTAGAAAAGTCCGTGGTCGTCATCTAAATTCCGCTAGATGACTGGATCAAAACAACATCGAGGCCTCTCATTTGTTTATTACACACCAACTATCTACCCATGTTCTACCCAACGTATTAGTAGATAAAAATATATATTTTTATACATAGTTTAAAACCTGCATAGCATTCTCATTCAATACATATTCCAAAACAACAGATGAGACACATACACATAACACGTATTTCATAGAGAATAAATCATATCTATGAGATAGAAGAAAGTGAATATACATTCACGAATATAACAACAAAATATACACATAACACGTATTTTATATTAAGTACTTGATAATTATGCATTAGAAGAAAGTAACCACACACTCACACATATAAACAACAATATACTTAGTACACTCAAATCATACTTGTATTATTATCGTGTTTATGAAAAGTAGTATACACTCACTTGATCAGAAGATGATCGGACAGTACTATGATTTGCAAAAGTAGTAATCCTCAGCAGATCTGGAAGATCTCTACAAAAATCAAACTTCTCGCGGGCAGAGCTTCGGCTCGGAAACCGCACTTCTCGGGATCTTCGGGATCTCGGGACTTGCTTCGGGACTCGGGAATATTACCGGGGCATCGGGGTATTTCTGGCACGCAAAACGATGCAAAACGGGAGAGAGAAGGGAGAAAATAGCAAAAGATCCGGCTGTCCTCGCATCCTATTTATAGGAGGCTAGAAGCCTCAATTACGCGGGGCGTACAGCAGTACGCGGGGCGTACTGCTCCGAGTTCGTCATGGCGTTCGTCATCCAAAGTCCTCGAGTGCGAGTGTCGACACTCTTCGCTATACGCGGGGCGTACTCCGGATGAGCCCGGTGACTCGCCTTCGGATAATGCCGGATTTAATAATTAAATTTAATTATTAATTATTTAATAAACTTCGAAAATTCATATCTTCTTCATACGAACTCCGTTTTCGACGTTCTTTATATACACGCGAAGGTGAGACTACGCTATACAACTTTCGTTTAGACTTCGTTGGCTAATTTTGAATTTATTTTTATTATTTATTTTTAATAGGCCTGGGACAGAAAATTTCGTTATAAATTCATAACTTCTTCGTTTGACGTCCGTTCTCGCCTAACTTTTTATCTCTTTGATTCTAACAACGAGATCTTCGATTCTCGTTTAGATCACTAAGGCTAAATATCGCTCTAACGTAAATTTCAATTTTTACGTCATTCAGCGGTGCCGGTTCTGTCGCGAAACTTTGACAGGTCATAACTTCCTCGTTATAACTCAGATTTCGGCATTCTTTATATCTTCGGAAACCTTGTTTCAACTACTACAACATTATTTAAAGATATCAAGTTTATTTTACACTTAAATTTTGACGCTTATTTTTATTCTTAATTAATCAAACCACATAATTAAGCAATTAAGCACAAAACACATAATACTCAAATAATACACTTCTATTATTTCAAAATGGGTTACAAAGGTTAACCTAGACTATTACATCAACGAAAATGCCTAGCCTGGAAATGCGGGCGTTACAATTCTCTCCCCCTTAGGATGATTTCGTCCCCGGAATCACACATCAACAAACAAATGCGGATAGCGACTCAACATGTCACTCTCCGTTTCCCAAGTGAGATTTGGCCCATTCGTGTGTTTCCATCAGACAAGCACTAACTCAACCATTTTACGTCGCAATTTCTTAGTCTTCCGGTCAACGATTGCCTCTGGTTCCTCAATCAACCTTTTGTTCTCATCGATTCTCAACTCCGAAAGTGGAATCATGTCGGGAACTTCTCCTGTGAACTTCCTCAAATAACACACATGGA